GGATTGCCATGAGCTGTTCGAAACTAAAACAAAACTAGGTTACGACGTGTTGACCTTGACTAGTTACGAACGACACTTTTTTTTCTTCGATATAGGGTACGACCCTACTTATAGGTTAAATTTAATTTTTTTTATTGGAATTCCCTGTTGAACCCTTACGAAAAAAAGGGGAGAATTACGTAACATGTATTTCTAGCCTACCCTTTTTAGCCATAGTCCGTTTAACAGTTTTAGTTTACTAGCCTTAGCCTAGCCTCGTTTTTTTCCAACTTAAGCCCTGAGGGATTTGGATTCATGATCCTGTTTTGACGTTAATTACTGGACTTACTAGCACGACCTCTTCGGCAAGTGTTGTTAAGTAGGACTCCCAAGCATTACACATGCCATATTTTTTTACGTTACCGTTAGTTAGAATGTCAACGTTCTACAATTTGATTTTCAGGTTTTACAGTTGAGACTGACACGACCACGTCTTTTTCAGTCCCCCAGTGACCACCAGTCATCCTAAGTAGGAGACCCTAGTATTTTACAGACTACGTTGTCAGGTAGTTTCTCAACAAGCCATAAAGTCAGACCTAGTTTGTTGTCTGGTGTAAATGAGTCGTTTTTGTTCTGCCCCCCTATAGACCTACTTATGTATAAGGACCGGAGAAGTCATATAGGACTTATTTCGAAATTGTATAATATGTCAGTTGTGTGCAAGATCAAAGACTGAGACGTAAATTGGCAAAGGATAACAGAATTCTATGCTGGTCTGTGACAGTTTTTTATCTTTGTATTCACTCTGTCGTTCGGACCTCGTTTTCCCTTGGTTATAGCACATATATTAACAGTCTCATCATTATTCTTTATGGTAAATAGTTCTGTGGTGTACTGGTCTAGCGTCTGTCCCCCCCCCATATGACATAAACCTGCGATCGGCCTGACTTCTCGCGGTAACTGGTCTCTCTTTACACCAACTTACAGCGAGTAAATCGTGTCATCCGTCGAGTCCTATGTCACATAAACTTTATTGTGTGCTGTGTGTGTGTGTGTGTGTGGTGTGGTGTGTGTGTGTGTGTGGCTGTGTTGTTGTGTCGTGGTGTGTGTGTGTGTCGTGTGTGTTGGGTGTTGTGTGTGTGTGTGTGTGTGTGTGTGTGTGTGTGGTGTGTGTCGTAGTCGTGTGTGTGTGTGGTGTGTGTGTGGTGTTGTGTGTGTGGTGTGTTGTGGGTGTGTGTGTGTGTGTGTGTTGTTGTGTGGTGTGTGTGGTGTGTGTGGTGGTGTGTGTGTCGTGTGTGTGCCGACTACGATATCCCAGTGACGTCATATACAGCGCCGTTGTTGGTAAGGTTCAAATAGAAGATTTGTATACCGGGTTGTAATAATATTAATGACTCAAATTTTTATTGTACTCCACATGGCTACATTATGCCATCAAAACAACCCTTTTTGACGAACTGTAATGGAAAAACAAAAGAAAAAATAGATCTTTGCATAAACCAACATATTTTTAGACGAGAGAGATTACTTCAGCGTAATGACAACCATACGTGTCGTTCGCAAATCGGACGAAGGTTTACTCTTCGAAAAAATACCGGGTTTTGTGACCTCCACGAAAAAAATCCCGTTTCGGGTGTTCCATAACAACTGTACAAACCCAATGCCACTGCGAGAGTACATTGCATCGAGAGGACTAGGTTAGCCTACAGTGTAGTTAATATATCTGTGCAAACAACAAATTTAACAAAACTTCCGTCCTTACCTTCTTTTTTTCTACGTCGGTGGCACCATTCTATTCATTCGTACATTTTTCCGTATTAGCTTCCGGTAAACCTTGGAGGTTAACTACAGTATCAAAATAGGTCAAACAAGGGTAGATACCTGGAGACCATGAACATATCCGAGTAAATGGTTTATAATAAACTAATATAAACTAGCCACACAAAGTTTGGTTTAACGGTGAGACCCTGCTAAGTTAGGTTTGTTCTTACGCGCTAGGTCAATTAGACACTGCGCCCTGCCCACTCTGTTGCCAGATTTGAGAGAAATAAGCAACCAGGTCTATGAAAACAAGCCCCAAAGAAGCAACACATACATGATGTTGTGTAATTTGAAACCAAAACTAAGGCCTCAGGATGACTTTAAGATTTGAACATGGTCATTTTTGTTCTGTAACATTGAATACAAAAAAAAAAAAAAGTATTTATTAAAAAAAAAAAAAAAATCCCGATCCCCGATTTTTTTTCTCCCGATTCCTATCTTTTGAAAATCACGTGATCGGCTCCGATCCCCGATCACGTGATCGGATCGGGACATCTCTACTTAGGTTTATGATGTAATGCTTACAATACTAATGTCGTTCCTTTGCAGCCTTAATTGCATATATCTTTTTTTGTAGCTAGAGCGAGCGGTTGGATGAGGTGCTGAACACTTGAAACAGACGGAAACGGTTGCACAATCCATATGCATCTCTTCTTTCAGTAGACTTTGCGGAGGCCTTTTTCAAGATCAACAACCAAGCATACAGCTCCTGCTCCGTCAGCGTCAGGGTGCAATTCCCACTTTGTTTTTGGGAACCTGTTGGCATGCTGACGTTTTTTTTTTATTTCTACTGCGCCTCAAAGTCAAGCTTCACAGAGCTGCTACTGTAGCAACTCTGCTAGGTGTGGCTAGTGCTGTCATGATGTTATAATGGCTATGCTCCTTGCTGTGACATAGTGACTGCAAAATGTAATCAAAGGTGTATTCTTGATTGGGACGACAGGTAGCCTATGTGATCTTTTCACTCTTGTTTTGGTTGCAGAGTATTCAACCCAAAGCCAGGCTTGCAGGCTCTTAATGTGTACTAGGTGAACTAAGTGTAACAATTATATTAACTCACTGCGAATGGAAAATAGCCATAGGGAAGAGGAATCATTTCTGAGCAAGCTGGGTTCACTGGAATTGTGTTTTTATCAATAGTTTTACAAAATCAGTTAATACTAATGTCTCACTGTGTCATAGTATATATACCATAATAGCACTGACTTTACAATGTGGTTCTACTTCTTCATCTGCTTAAATATGAAAGCAGCGAGGGACTAAACATGAAATGGTGAAAGGCTGTATTGATAGCTAGCGTGGTAGTTAAGATCACAGACCTCTTAAGATCATTTGGTTAAAGATGTGTTTGTTGCCAACCGTTTTTTCCCTTAACTCAGAGTGCCTCTTATATTTCACATGTTTTTGCAGCAGTTTTAGTCAAATGTTTTGCTTTAAGCTGGATTTCCTCCGGGTTGACTCCTCAGCCCTGTCTGGTGACCTACTTGCCAGGAGCAGTGTTGCTAACTCTGTACAAACTGCACACCCTTCCTAATTCCTCAAGTCAAGAACATATTAAAAAAAGTTCAGCAGGGAAGAAATTAAGAAATTTGCAGATGCGGATTAGTTTGTATGAACACATTTTTAAAGCTGACATGTTCTTGGACTCTGGTTTCTGCCTTTAGCCTTCTTATCCCTCTTACATGGCTGAGAGCGTAGAAGAATCTTTAAAAGTTGTCGACAAATGTGGTTACTGCATCCCAGGTCCTTTGTCGTGCCATGCGTTCCTAAGTGCACTGCTAATCTAGCCTTTCTGTCATTAAAAAACGGTTTTCAACATGTGTTTTTCGAATGTGCAAATAGGACTCATTGCACACAAATGCATTCGCGCAGGCACATACTTTTTGTCCACTCCAGCCGTTGTTCTCTCAGAGGGGGACAGATTATTCTTTGTTTTGCTGATAAGGCTGGGTGTCTTTTGTGTCCCACTGTTTTTGGCTCTGCTACTTTATCTGTGCTCTGTCCTGCTCAGCCCAGGGTTGCTTTCTTTATGACGTGTCTCAAGATGGAGTTATATTGATTGGATATCAGTAATTGAATGATTGTTGGGTGTATTACAGATTTATTTTGAATTATTTTTAAATAAAAAGGATAAAGTGATAACATGGTAACTTTTACTAGTAGACATACTATTTCTGTACTTCAATCCAAACTTCTCATAATGTTTAAACAATTGTTTTTTCTTTGTGATTGGAATGAAGGTCAGAAGCTCTTCCTCTTCCTATTGTAGCCTTTACAATATATTCCGTTTTCTTATACGATGTACTTTATTGTCCCCGTAAGGACATTTTCTTTGGGCTCCGTCGTGTGGTTCTACAGAAGATTTACAAAATAAATCTTACACAGTAAAATACATTTACATATTAACACAGTTCACACATATACGCAGACAGACCTACTGACAATGGTGACCTATTGCACAACCCTCATGGCCATCAGTTACATCTATATTGAATGACTTGCGAGTGTTGAGAAGCTTAATGGACATATGCACTGGGGACGGAGAATGTCCCCTTACTGAAGACAACATCTTTTCTGTCATCAGACAGTTTACATAGCCATTCTCTAGATGAAAGCAATATGTCAGAGCAGTATTTGTATGTTTTTATATTGGCACACGTTTGGGCTGTTTAAGAATATAAAAAGAGCCTTGTCCTTTTCATAATTTGGGACAAATGACCTTTATCTATGTTGATATGAGGTCTCAGGCTTTGGGTATCATGTTTTGTTTTGCAGCTCTGTTTTATTGGAAATGTCCTGTATTGGTTTGGGTATTTCAGTTTCAAGCCTTTATCCAATAACCTGGACACACCCTGGTTGATTTCATTTGATGGGAATTCCATGAAACCTGAGGATGGGTGGAGGATGAGGTTTAGAAAATGTTATTCTTTGTGATGCAGTACATATAAAAGCAGCTCTCCTCTCCTCAGACTGAGAGGAGAGCAGAGCCGAGAGCCCGTAAGTGTGTTGGCTCTCTCCCAAGGACCAGCATGCATTCCACTCAGGATGTAGCTCTGATTTATCTGCTCTCATGTGTCTGTCAGTCTCAGTGAAATCAACACTGGTGGTAGATTTGAAATAGAACAGCACCAACAAATCCAGCTCTGTGTCAGTGTATGTCACATGGAGACCTAGTGTTAAAATCATGAGAAATCTTCTGCACAGAGGGAATCCGGCGACGTCCTTCTGTAACAACACAAGTCTGTTGATTTGTGACACTGCAAACAAACGCCCCAAGGCCGGTTTCCTCTCACTGACACCGTTTTATGAGAAGGAGGAAGCTTTAAGCTTTCATTTATCTTTTAGAGCACTTCTCACAACAAAAGAAGAAGTGCAAACTTGGTCCTTCTTTTCTTTTCTAAGGTCTTTTTTCCCCGATAATAGTGTTGAAATGGAGTGAGAAAGAAAGTGGGATATGACAACTAGTCCCAAGGCTAGAATGAGACGTTGTGGTTCCAGGCATGCACTGTAACCACTTAGTTAACAGGGCACTCTGAAATCAATTACACTTTTGATTGGCTTTTATATGAATGAAAACAGAAGCTCCTTCTGTAGCCTGACTCATGGGCTTATACAGTATTTACGATGTGAATTCTTTCATCAAGTGCCACCACAATGTTTACAAGTATGGTTTTGAAGGAAATGTCATCAGCTTTTGATGGATCGTGCTGTCCTTTTGCACAGACATTCCCCTGAACTAGAGTGGTGACTTTCACATGTAGCTCGCAGCCTCACATGCTTCTGGCATGTCTGTAGACTTTTTACCATCCTTTCCGATACAGCTGGAGTCACATCTCTTTCCAGAATGCTTGTTTGATCCCTAGGGTGTTTCTGTGTCATGCAAACAAATAATGTTGATGAAAAGACGAGTAAGAGGTCCGAACTCTGGGGTTTTCCCTTGTTCACACAGGGTGGAAAGCACTCAGCAGCTCTGACTTGAGAGGACGAGGTCAACAGGGGAGGAAACAACCTGAAACCAACCTTACAGCTTGGGAATTCTTTCTGTTGTGTATTACCTTTTTCTGTGGCGTAACTCTGAGGATTTTTAAAGGGGTCAAGAAAGGTCACCTAGGCAGCTGCAGGATTCCTGAGAGACATACTACACATTCTCTTTCCCCTGTGTCACCACCACCAGCTATCACAAGAGACAGACTCACAGCATTGAGTCATCACTGGGACATAGTGCAACTCTTATCAGTATTAAATATCCACTTTGTTTTTAAAACCGTGAAGTCCAGTGCTGCATCCCAAGAGAAGTTGTAATGTGTGTTTATGACTGTGATGTCCGGTTGCCTTATGGCTCTAAATGTCATAATAAATAGCTGTTTGGTTGATGAGTTGAGGGTTAGCCATGATTTTCATGAACTAAACGTCAGACGTGAGGTTTTTCCGCTGCACACACAGTGCCATCTTCTGGCAGAAACACTACGCTGCATCATAAGCTTTCCAGCATTGGATCATCTGGTTGTTTGCAGCTCCTAAATCTGTTTATCCAGGGTGGTTTCAGGACAGATGATAGTTTATCCTGGAATGGCACTGTGTTATTTCAATCGATTCATTTTATCTCAAAAAACACAAGATGTTAATTGTCCTTTCATCCTTTTTATACTTTAACTTGAATACAAATGAAATAAAGAGTGGCTAGTTTTCATCCTTTCATCCTCTTGGGTTTTTCCTTGTGCAATGGACATCTTGTAAATGTTAAAAGATGGTCCAATGAAATTAGTTCTTATTTAATACTGTTTCTAAAAACTGTATCTTTTCCTTTTGTATTTTCTTTAGAGTGGACAAGACATTCAACAAGGCCAGGAGCTTATGGTGAGTTTTTCCTTTTTTCTTTGTGGAGTGATGTGTGTCTGAGTCATGTGTGCCTTATTTGAAGAATGTCCTTCCTTTGCATGAGTAACAATAAGTGGTACTTTGGTGTGCCATCATTTTGTTGATTTTGTTTATTCTGTTAGTGCTCCATGACATGTGATCATGGTAATGTGCCAGATGAATCAATAAATTAGCTATGACAATAATTATCCTAGCTATTCAAAATATTTGACTACAGTAGCTACTCACCGGTTTGAGCAGGCCAAACTTTTCAAAATATAGCTATTCAAAATATTTGACTACAGTAGCTACTCACCGGTTTGAGCAGGCCAAACTTTTTAAACGCTTTTTTATTAGCAACCCCCCACTTTAAATGTTGCTTCAGTCTTTATTATTTCCCTACCTTTATATCGTTTTATTTATTTTATAGGTCTTAATCTTTTTATTTAGTTTGTTTTAGTTTTTTTGAAATTGTTACAATTCTTGAGGCTTTCTGTAGTGGAGTTCAAGGTCAGTGGTTCTCAAGCTTTTCCTGTCGTTCCCCACTTTGAACAGGTGGGCCTTTTCAACCCCACCTGTTCCTCATCGCTCCAATCAAATGGTAGGCCAAGCTTAAAATTGTCAAATGTATCGTTCTATAACAGGGGTCTCCAACCTTTTTTAGGATGAGAGCTACTTTCAAAAAATAAAACAAGTCGTGAGCTACTATTACTCCTGTTTTTTTGTTTTTTGCAGTGTATATATTTAGCACATTTTAACATTATTATATGCTTACCTTTAACCTTTGTGTGCTGTTTGGGTCTGTGTGACCCGTTTTCAGTGTTTACTAAAAGAAAATGTATTCAATTTAATTATTTTAATCTGCTTTATTTGGGGGTGGACCTTACATCCTCTAGGGGGGTCCGGGGGCATGCTCCCCCGGGAAGATATTTTTTATTTAAAAAAAAAAAGAAAAAAAAAATGTTGAAGTTAAATGCATCAATCTGGTGCACTTTGAGCACAACATGAATTGATGGATACAGCTCTCAACACTCATATGAAAGGGAGCTGTATACTTTTCAATAATCCAAACATCTTTAGAATATGATCAAAAACAATAACAAATCATTTAAACTTGTTTATTCTTATCTTATGTTACCTAGTTAGCATTCTATCTTTTTATTTATGCATATTTGACTAATCACTCCCCTTTTAAACAGTTTTTTATTTTTTACTGTCCTATATTACACATTGGATTGATTTCTTACTTTATTTTTTACAACTAGGCTATATTAAATAGATAAAGGTGTGCTCTAGCTCTCTTACTTTCTCTCTGTCTCGCTCGCTCACAGAGGCTGTGTGCTCCTCCGTGGCGATGTCGGCTTGCGTTCAAAAATCATAATACACATAGGCCTATTTGTAAAGTGGGGGGACACAAACGGGATTTCGAAAAGTGTCACGGTTAAACTCCTTTATGAAGTGGTGAGATGCGCGGCCTGCGCCGGTACCGCGTCTGCCGCCGCAAACACTTTCCGGCGCATCGGCGCTGTGAAAGTCCACCGCCGTTGCCAGTCGCCGGCTGTAACAGTCCACTACCGCCCGTTAGGACCCGGGTTCGATTCCGGCCTGAGGTCCCAAAAATGTATTTAAAAAATAAATAAAATAATAATCTCCCGTTCATCGTGTCCATTCGCGACCCACCTATCAAATCTCTGCGACCCACCAGTGGGGTGCGCCCCACACTTTGAAAAACGCTGGAATACAGCCTTGAACGTTTTAAATGTTTGAATCAGTCCAGCGAGTAGAGTGTAAATATGATGAATGAGCCAGTGGAAGGTAGACAGCAGCGGAGATTCAGACACCCTGCTGCTGTCTCTGCAGTGCTGGCACAGGCTGTGAGTGGCACAGGGAGGCAGACAGGGAGCTGAGCATGCACACCTCTTGCCACTGCAGATAGACCTCTCTCTTCCTGAAAGCTTAAGGTGTGGTGGCACGAGTGTCTGGCCCTCAAACCTGTGAGTCTGCCTGCAGCAGGTTAAACAGTGTCTGCCGCAGTATCATCACTCCATCCCTCTGGAATCCAGAAGCAGGAGGGTCTCTCCTACAGGCCTGCATTACTCAGCAGAGGCCGGGCTTGTTTGCAGGGACTGCAGTCTGGCTGTCTAGCGAACACTGCAGCAGACCGTATCAGAACAACTGCTGGTGCAAAAAGAAGAGGAGAGAGAGCACTTGGAGAATCTAAAAAAAGGATACAAAACGACAAAAGAATTGTGGGCGTGACGAGGAGGAAGAAAGACAAAGGAAGTGAGTGGATGAGAAGACATGACAGAAGGAGAAAGAAGAGAACAGTGTCACAAAATACATAGAGTTGAGCAGTGACTCACTTGGTGTTTTCAGCATTTTTCGTCACAGCCATGCGTGTCTTCAAAGCAAGGAGGAATTCAACAAACGAGGACAAATGAAATTGGAGGATCCTTCCCATTGTGTTAAAAGAACTTGAATCATCTTACATAATCATCAGTGTTTATGTCCGGCATGAAGAACACGTTTCTGTCAACACCTGTGGCTTTTAGAAAGGATTCTCACTCTGTCAAGCTTAAGGACAAATGCTAGATTTCAGTGGAAAAAAACAAGTGGAAGAGCCAGAGACCAAATCTTACTCCAGGTACCGTGTGATGGACAGGAAGTGACTGAAAATTGGAAAGTGAATTATTTTCTCCATCGGCAAAACTGCAACAGCACAACTCAGCAAAATGCCGTGCTCACCTTTCCGAATTGGAAGGCCAAGAAAATGCTGGTGAGTTTCTTGTTAACCTGCTTGAAGATAGGTTTAAGGATAACAGCATGCTTCCTCAAGCTAATGCTTCGTAAGAGTGAAATATATCTCCGTGATGCATGTATTTGTGCCCTTTACCAATGCTCGAGAAATTATTATTATCTATAAATTAATTAATCAAACTTTATTTGTAAAACACCATTTGGAAATGTCTGTGAAATTCAATGTAACAATTTCACCTAAAGCACATGAGAAATGAAAAGGATTAAAAAATAACAATATAAAACCTAAAAATAATTAGAAGTAATACATAAAATATAAAACTAAAATGATATAAAATACAATGACAGTGGGGAATAGAACAGTTAGAAAAAAAACATTAATTCTTGAACAAAATGAATTACCATCAGAACAACCAATGTAAGGACTTCAAAACAGGTGTAATGTATTCTTTCTGAATCAATTGTAACTGATTGTTTAAAACCCATAAGGACCCACCGTGTCACGGGTGTCACATGAACTTTAAATGTTCTGGAAAGTTCCTTATACAGCTTTAGCCTTTATTTTATCTCATGAAGTCCCTAAGTGACACACACTGAACAGTCTGGTGGGTCATGGTCCAGGAC